TGCTCCTCTGTGAGCCTTGAGTTCTGAGCAGGTTCCCCTACAGCTCCAACAACAGCTTGGTTTGCCTGCTGCAGGAGAAAGAATCACGGGCTTTGCAGCCACACAGACCTGCGGTGGATTTTGGCCCGCACCACTGGGGAGCCCTGTGACTCTAAGGCATGTGGTTAAACCCCTGCTGTGCCTCAGTTCCCACACACGACTTTCGGGAATCTCAGTGCTGACCTCAGAGAGTGCCTTCAAGAAGGGACCGAGCACGGTCCTCTGCAGGTGGCAGATACTGGACTATCAGGCATTTCCTTCTTCTTTTGCCGCCATCCCTGGGGTCACTTAAAATCCTAAACTGACTCCACGTGCTGCTAAAATGCTTTGCAGCTATATGACTGTCCTCGCTTTGTTCCCTAGAGCCATTTCGGTAGACGCGTTTCACGGCACACGCCGTAAGCTCCTCTTGAGCGGCCTCTGCCTTATTGGAAAATCGGAGTCAGTAGATATACAAGCATGAGGAAATCTAGTCCCTGCACTGGTGTGATTTACTGCTGGAAATAATAAAATGAGCGCTCTGAAATGGTTTTTCTCCTCACTTGTTTCAGAAAAAATTATTGATTGTGTCACAAAGACCTTTAGAGTCTTTTGTGCACATTGAAATCACTGGGGGAGAAATGCAGCATGAACATATTTGAAGTCTGTGGTCCACCCTGCCCCTTCGCTGAGAAAACCTGATTATTTTGTGCATTTCAGAGAGACTGGGACATCTGCTGTGTTTGGCCTATATCTCTGGTGGTTGCACAAGGGAGCCGGAGCTGATTGCCTTATTAGAGACCAAGCTATCACAGAGAACAGGAAAAAGACCCCATTCTCCCTCCTGCCTGCCATGGCCAGAGGCCCTGGTTCACTGAATCACGGCTGTTGTTACCATGCTTTTTCGGATTCCTGGAGCAGAGCTAGTTCTTCTGCAGATTCCCTGGGGCTGGGTGGGCTTCACGGCTGTCTTTGAAATGGGATATACAGTCCCGAATGTGGGCATTTTTCTGGAGCCTCTGGAGTCTTTATTCTGGAGTTAGATGGGATGTTCCCAGAGGATTCAGGCTGTTCATTTTTTTGTCTGTATGACTGGACACCCTGCGGCCCAGGCCTGTACGACCGGACACGCTGCGGTCTTTGTCTTTGGAGCCCCGGCAAATGCAAGCCCTGCACATAGTAGGTGTTTAAATAAACATGTACAAAAGTGTGTGGACCACTAATCTGGAGAAAACTTTGCGTCTCTGTTGAATTAATTATCTGGCTAATAAAGCAAGCGCTGCGCTGGCTAGTCAACGCTCATTGCAAAATCACTGGCCTCTGAGCAGCCCTGAAAGACATAACAGATGAAGATAATGAGTTTTTATTAAGGAGAAATTAACTTCAAATCATACACCCCTGAGTGTTAGGGCCAAAAGGGGTAGTCCCAAATCCGTATCTTATATACGGATAAACAGAGGCCCTGAGAGATGAAGTGACGCTCAGGGTGACCAGCCAGGTTAGTGATCAGGACACCAAGCAGCTCCCTGCCTTGCTGGGGGGGTCCCTCCTTTGCTGCTCTGAAGTTTTAAAATGCAAATCATCATGGAAGCCACCACCTGGGCCGCAGCGTGTCCGGTCATCCAGGCCTAGGCCTGAGAGTGTCTGGTCCTATAGGCCTGGGCCACAGAGTTTCTGGTCGTACTGGCCTGGGTCAAAGCGTGTCCAGTCGTACTGGCTGGGCCGCAGTGTGTCCGGTCCATCAGGCCTGGGCCACAGCATGTCTGGTCGTACAGGCCTGGGCTGCAGAGTGTCCAGTTGTACAGGCCTGGACTGCAGAGTGTCTGGTCGTACAGGCCTGGGCTGCAGTGTGTCCAGTTATACACAGCCCAGGCTTCTTTGATGTACAGGGACAAAATAGGAGTTGGGGGGTGTGCACTGGGGCCTGCCTCCTGTGCATGGGGCTAGTTCCATTCCTATCCATTGACTCAGCTGCAAGGGTAACTGACAAGGGACAGCCCCGCCTCTCCCTCCTCCCCTGCCCCTGCCCGCCTTGCTTTCTGTCCTTCCTTCCCCTGTCCCCACACTTGGCACCAGGCCAGCCTCTGCACATCTCTGTTCCCCCATCCCTTGTCTCTGTCCTGGGGCTGTACCCGGTCCTAGCAGGCTCTTCCCTGGCTGCAGGAGACAAGCCTGAGTGATGACTGGAGTCTGAATTGAGACAGTTTAAGACAATGCCCCAGGCCGACAAGGCGCTCAAAGGAGATTGAAGGAGGTTGGGGAGTTTCATCCCATCAGCTTCCTCCTGGGATGCTTCCCTCGCCTTCCTGTCCTGTGTCTCTGGGTGAGACTGCAAATCTGTTTTCTCGGAAGGGATTTCTCAGAAGATTGGAAGGGAGAAGAACACCAGGGGCCTGGAGAAGCCGCTGGACTATCTGAGGCCACGCCTGGGTAGTAGGGGTAGAGGTTAGGATGGCTCCTCTCTTGAGGGATGGTGGAAGACTGAGTGTCAGGCCCCTGGGGCCTCTTGCCCCACCTTTCTATCATGGGCTGCATGTCCTTGGGGAAGTACAGACCACACCGGCCTTAGTTTCTCTGTAAAAGGCAGGCTGGGTGACAGGTACCCGTAGGTTTATACTGGCAAGTTGATTTGCTGGAGGCCACCTGGGTTTTGCCCTGGGTCTGAGTGTGCTCACCATCATTGTTGAGGGGTTCCGGGTGTTTCTGATTGTGAATGACTGCAGTAAAATCCTCAGGGATCCCAGGAGCTTCACTGTCTGGCATTTCCCATCTGTACAGCAGTGGCTGGTTTACCCTAGATCTTTGGGGATGGGTGCGTTTCTGGAAGGTTGGCCCTTGCTGTTGAGCACTGAAACAAGTTCTGGATGGCCACAGTCGTTTGGAGGGGGTGAGCTTTTCCAGAATTTTCCCCACAGCTGTGCCCGGCTCGCCAGAGCTATGGGCCCTGGTGACAGGGGTGCCCAAATGATCCCGGCCAGCTCAGCTTCTTAGTACGTTGTTCTACTGTAGAACTTGGGTGTTACTTCCTGCATCTGTGTGGCTACCTGCCTCTTCCAGGGCATCACCTCAGATGAGTGGCAGACAAGAAAATTGGACACCAGTGTCTGGAATTATAATATATGCACACTGAAAGCAAGTAACCCCGGAGTGGGGACCCAAGGGTCTCTCCAGTAATAATGCAAGGAATCCAGGTCATGTATTGAGATGCAGGAGAGCCAGAGATCACCTCCAGCCCCCTCCTCGTTAACTCTTTTGCGGCCTCCTCAACTGCATCCAGAAGCCAGCTTGACAGCAGGCAGACAAACAAAAGGAAAGCAAACACACTTTGTTAGTTTTACACGGACCTGGGAATCTTCACAAGAGAGTGGAGTTGAAGGTTTTAGACCTTTTAGACAAAGAACAATCAATTTCAGAAGAGATGGAACACAAGGGATCTGGTGGAGCAATATACATTTCTAGGGGAGTCTCTGGGAGATATATGGGGTGTGTAAAACCAGTGGAAGAGAAGGGTTCCTTTGTGAAGTATGTTTATCCTGGTCCATTGCAGCCCCCAGTTCCCAGGCTCTGCTGAGGAGGGCCATTTTCTCAGCCTGGCAGGGGAAGGGTACTCCTCCCAGAGGACTCTACGGCTTGGGGTATGCAGGAAGAGACAAGTCAGCTGGCCCTGTCTGAAACTATAATTCCTCCAGTGTTTTTGACTCAAAATAATCAACATATCAATTTGGCATATTTTGGGATGGCTCATCCTTCCAAGGCTTGCAGGGTACTAGACTCTGGGTTACGCATTTTGCGTATATGACCTCATTTCTTCCTCACATTCACACTAGGAGACATCTTTTGAGTCCCATTTTACAGATGAGGAAACCTAGTCACAGAATGGTTAAATTCATTGCCTGAGATCATTAGAGCAGCCTTAGACTTGATTCGGGTTGAAACGCAGGTCTCCCTGACTCCCAAGCCTGGCATAATGTCTTATTTTTGACTGCTTGGAAACTGTTTTTCCTACATCCCATCTTTCTACCTGTCAGGCCTCTGAGCCCAAGCCAAGCCGTCGCATCCCCTGTGACTTGCACATGTACACCCAGATGGCCTGAAGTAACTGAAGAATCACAAAAGAAGTGAAAATGCCTTGCCCTGCCTTAACTGATGACATTCCACCACAAAAGAAGTGAAAATGGCTGGTCCTTGCCTTAACTGATGACATTACCTTGTGAAAGTCCTTTTCCTGGCTCATCCTGGCTCAAAAAGCTCCCCCACTGAGCACCTTGTGACCCCCACTCCTGCCTGCCAGAGAACAAATCCCCTTGGACTGTAATTTTCCTTTATCTACCCAACTCCTATAAAACGGCCCCACCCTTATCTCCCTTTGCTGACTCTCTTTTCGGACTCAGCCCGCCTGCACCCAGGTGATTAAAAAGCTTTATTGCTCACACAAAACCTGTTTGGTGGTCTCTTCACACGGACGTACATGACACTACCAAGTTGAGAATCAGTGAGCTCAGAATACGGGGAAGGCGCTGGCTGCATATTATAGAGATCTGGTCTTGGGGAAATGCCTGTTTATTATGGATATGGCTTACGGACTAAAATAATAGCATTGAATGTACTTTGTATGCATGTAAGGTGGTTGTGATTAACCAAAAGTAATGTTGATGATGAACTTAAAAGACAGTCAGGCCGGGTGCGGTGGCTCAAGCCTGTAATCCCAGCACTTCGGGAGGCCGAGACGGGCGGATCACGAGGTCAGGAGATCGAGACCGTCCTGGCGAACACGGTGAAAACCCGTCTCTACTAAAAAATACAAAAAACTAGCCGGGTGAGGTGGCGGGCGCCTGTGGTCCCAGCTACTCGGGAGGCTGAGGCAGGAGAATGGCGTGAACCCGGGAGGCGGAGCTTGCAGTGAGCCGAGATCGCGCCACTGCACTCCAGCCCGGGCGACAGAGCGAGACTCCGTCTCAAAAAAAAAAAAAAAAAAAGACAGTCAAGTGTGCTTTAAAAATAAGCTTAAAAACTGCCTGGGTTTTGTATGCACAGATTTTGGGCCGGCCAGGAAGATCCCCCAGATCGTGGTTTGAGAATACCTGTTTTAGACAAAGCACGAGTGACGCGTCCCAGGCATCAGGAAAGATGAAATCTGGCAAGGAAACCATAAGGATCAGATTACAGGAAAGGCTTGCTCAGGGAGAGGAAGGAAGCAAGGAAGAAATTAGTAACTAAAAAGAGGCAAGGAGGAAGGCCTCTTCATCAGGAGGCGGGGGAGTGTGGACCGGTTGTTTGGATATCTAAAACAAAACAGCTGTGGTTGTCATACACACACATTTTGTCAGAAAATAACCTGGTGTGTTATTTTCCGATGTTTCAGCCATTGTGTCTTGATTCAGGAACAGCTCCCTTCTGAGTTTCTTTTTGTTTGTTTGTTTTTGAGAGAGGGTCTCATTCTGTTGCACAGCTGGTGCAGTGGTGTGATCACGACTCACTGCAGCCACAACCTCCCCAGGCTCAAGCAATCCTCCCACCTCAGCCTCCCGAGTAGCTGGGACTACAGGTGTGCACCACCACACCCAGCTAATTTTTGTATTTTTTATAGAGATGGGGTTTTGCCATGTTGCCCAAGCTGGTCTAGAACCCCTGGGCTTGAGTCATCCTACTGCCTAGTGCTGGGATGACAGGTGTGAGCCACTGCGCCCAGCCTCCCCTCTGAGTTTCCATCATCATGTTGGCATATCTACTGCTGGTGGTAGCCAGCCTCCAGGAGGCAGAGGTTGCAGTGAGCTGAGATCACACCACTGCACTCCAGCCTGGGCGACAGAGTGAGACTCTATCTCGGAAAAAAAAAAAGAAAAAGAAAAATCGACCCTTTATTATTTCTCTGCTGTCTTTAGGAATTGGCTGAGATCCAGTGGGTGTTGGCTGCTCTGGGTGGGCTCAGCCAGGTGGCCCTGCTCCACCTGTCTCAACTCCTCCTGGCCAAGCAAGGGTGCAAGAGGACAAATGAGTACACAGGACATGTCTGAGGGCCTGGCATGTGCCAGCTCTAAGCCCACTTCTGCCTCATTCTGCTGGCCAAAGCAAGCCACCCGACTCAAACTGAAGGGTGGAGAAATACATCACTGCTGCAGCTGAAGGCCCTCCAAAGTGGCAAAGAATGTGAACAAGGGGAAGAAGAAAAACTTGAGACCAATAATGCAATCTATGGTAAAGAGTAATAAATAACTATTTATCAAATTCCCACTGTGGGCCAGCACTGTGCATCTGTAATACCAGCTAACATTTATTGAGCACTAACTATGGGCCAGACACTTTTTTTTTTTTGGCGGACTCTTGCTGTGTTGCCCAGGCTGGAGTGCAGTGGCACAATCTTGGCTCACTGCAACCTCTGCCTCCCAGATTCAAATGATTCTGCTGCCTCAGCCTCCTGAGTAGTTTGGATTACAGGCGTGCGCCACCACTCCCTAATTTTTGTATTTTTAGTCGAGATGGTGTTTCACCATGTTGGTCAGTCTGGTGTCGAACTCCTGACCTTGTGATCCACCCGCCTCAGCCTCCCAAAGTGCTAGGATTACAGGCGTGAGCCACTGCGCTCAGCCGGGCCAGATACTCTTTTAAGCACCTTGCATGAATGAGTTCACTAGGTGCTTACAGCACTTCCGTGACACAGGTCCTGTGATTATTCCTAAGTTGTATCCAAGGAAATGGGGAGAAGAGATGTTTAATGTCTTGTTCAAGATCAAACCTGGGCAGCCTGGCTCTAGCACTTGGGCTCTGAACTCCAATGCTGTACGTGATCTGTTGCTAGCAGGGACTTCTTTTGAAAATACAGAGGCCCAGAAACCGTAAGTGGTTTTCCCAAGGCCACTGGGTGGACATGGACTTGGAATCCTAACCCATGTGACTGCTGTGTTCTCTCCACTATGCTATGGGTCAGTGAATGTTGTGATGTGGCTTTATTCTGCCTATTGACTGGATGTGATCAAAACTGTCAACGTCCAGGTAGAAGACGGAATCTGATGATTTACAATTTGTACAGAACTCTTCAGTCTTGTTGGCTTTCTTCTCAGTCTCAGCAACAACCTTCTGTCTTCGAGCTACATGTGAAAAATGTTCCTTCTCCTACTTGTTGATTAATATTCCTTGAAAAAATGTATTTCCATATATATAGCCTAAAGAGGAATGTCAGCAGTTAGACATACTAATCAGAAGAAGGCTTTGTGTTTTAGTAAAGGTTAATTAAGAGCCATTGAATTTTTTCCTTAAAACATAAAGGTAAAATAATGTAATTAGCTATTTTTTTCCCTCTCTCTCCCCAGAGGGCAGATGTAAATGTTCTACCAAAATGAAGCTATTTATTTAAATCCATCCAGATTTCTTCTGAAGTTTCATATATCTTTCCTCTGCTATATCAGCTTATAGCTACAATAATTTAATAAGTTTTTCCTAGGGTGAAATTGGATGCCCTTTATCGATCTTACACTGAGGGGGCATTCAATTACTTAATCTAAAGTGGTATTTCTGGGTCTCTCAATTACAATTTTGTTATAAATGGCTTGCTAATGATGCTTGGGTGCATAGGTTAATAGGGGGTGTCCAAGCAAGGGCTGGGTAATTGAACACTTTCTATTTTGGGACCCGTTATCTGATTTCTCTCCTGGTGCCAGGTTCCCACAGTGATGGTCTGCATCCATCAGGCTCAGAATTGAGCCCAGGTGGGAAGTAATCTCACTGAAATGTACACCTGAATCCTTTTGGTTTAATACATGAACGGAAGCGCCAAGGGCCCCGTCTTGTCTGAGTCGACCGGCACCAAACGTGGACATTCCAGACAGGTGAAGTGCAGGGGCATACATGACTCCTTTCTGAAGGAGGAACCACTTGAGTGTTAGGTTTCTGAATGACTGTGCTTGGGATAATTTGTGGCCTATGGAAAAGGCCAGATAAGGAACATAACAGCAATCCATTTTCCTTTTAATACCACCCCATTACTTGGATTTTTCTTCCCTGAGTTATGCTCTTTAATAATTATACATAGTATAAAAATTCTTTTGAGGTCAGGCATGGTGCCTCATGCCTGTAATCCCAGCACTTTGGGAGGCCAAGGCGGGCTGGATCACTTGAGGCAAGGAGTTCGAGACTAGCCTGGCCAATGTGGTGAAACTCCGTCTCTACTAAAAATGCAAAAATTAGCCAGGCGTGGTGGTGTGTGCCTGTAATCTCAGTACATCGGAAGCTGAGACAGGAGAATCGCTTGAACCTGGGAGGCAGAGGTTGAAGTGAGCCAAGATCGTGCCACTACACTCCAGCCTGGGCCACAGAGTGAAACTCCATCTCAAAAAAAAAAAAAAGAATATATAGTGTGCCTCCCTTTTTGCACTTGAGCAAATCCCACCCCTGACTTTGGCCTTCAAGACTTTATAGAGCCTGGTCCCTGCCTCCTCTCCCATTGGGTTTCCACCCCCACTACTGGCCTACCCTGCCAGTAGCCCTCATGGGTTGGGACTCCCCACAGCATCTCTCTACAGGGCCTTTGCTTCCCCTGGTCTCCATGTGACTGGCTTCCTTCTTGTCATTCAGGTTTCTCCTCCAATGTCCCTGTGAAATCAGGTCTTCCCTGTCACCCTGTGTATCATACCTCCCACTCCTCTAAGGCAGTGACTCTAACCCAGGGGTGATTATGCACCCCAGGGGACATTGACAATGCCTGGAGACGTTTTTAGTTGTGACATCTCAGGGGAACGGGTGCTATGGCATCCAGTGGGTAGAGGCCAGGGTGCTGCTAAGCATCCTACGCAGGACAGCCCTGACAACAAAGAATGGGCCATCCTAGGATGGCACAAAGAATTCCAAAACCCTGTTCCAATGGTTTTATTGTTCTCTCCCCTTTTTCTTTATTCTTTTCTGCATAGCCTTTATCTAGCAGCATCTGGGATTATCTTATTCATTTGGGACTTCTTTATAGCCTGTGCCCTGCAACCCCTACCCCTGGTGGGACAGGAGCTCCACTTGGGAACAGAACTCCTCTCTGGGTCAGCCCTGCACCACTCGCACCCGTCAGGGGAGGGCTCGTCTGGAAGCCGCCGGGCTCTAGGGCCTTCACTTACAAGGGATTCACCTGGCCTTCAGATTGCTTGTCCATCTTACTGCATGTTTGACATACTATACAGTGGCTATCGATTTTGGTAAAAACTTGTAAATGTGAGGTAGTTTTATGTTTTTTCTCAGAGAGGACCCCCCTTCCCACCCCAGCCCAGGGGTGTTTTCCAACACCAGCAAATCCTCCAACTCCAGAACCTAACTGATTATCCTACCATTCAATTCAAGTCTGCCCCTACCAGAGGCAGACTCTGCAGGTTTGAGGGCTTGGTCCCACCAGACTGCTCCACTTCAGATGCCAGTCCCAAGTACTGGGTCCCCAGGTTACCCATGCTTCTGTCCAAATTGGCTACAAAGGCAAGAGAGTCCCACAACCTCCTCAGGTTCAGTAATTCTCTAGAATGACTCACAGAACTCAGGAGAGTGCTTGGCTCATCATCAGTCTATTATAGGATACAATGCAGAAACAGCCAGCAAATGAGACGCATGGGGTGAGGTATGTTGGAGGAAGGTGTGTAGAGCTTCCATGCCCTCTCCCTCCACTCCACCTTCCCAGCACCTCGAAGGGTCCACCAACCTGGAAGCTGCCTGAGCCCAGTGGTTTAGGGGTTTTGATGGCAGTTTCATGACAAAGGCATGATTGGTTAAATCATTGGCCACTGGTGATTGACTTCATCTGCAGCCCTTCTTCCCTAACTGGAGTTTGGGGGGTTTGCTGAAAGCTGCTCACTGAGGTTTGCTCTTTCTGGTGACCAGCCCTCAGCCTGGAGCTATCCTGGCCTGCAAAGGGTCACCGCATCAGGATACACTCAGATATGGCTGAAAGGGGCTTGTCATGAATGACGACAGGTGCTTCTCTCACCCCATCACTCAGAAAGATTCCAAGGATTTTAGCACCTGTGTACCAGTACCCAAGGATAGAGACCAAATACTCATCTCTTTATTTCCACATCACATCCCTCATCTTGTATTGGCTTTTGGCTGGCCTCCCCCTAACTGGACATGTGCAACACTCAGCTGTTCTTCAAAAGATATTTGTTGAACAGATGAATGAACGAATGAAAGAATGCTAGGAGCTGAGAAAACACTGTATCTGAGTGTTTTGCTAAGGTTCTTGCAGCCTCTCAAATTGCCTCCTCAGTTCTTTCTGTTTAGGAAGCAGGACTTGCAGAGGCTGGGCTGGTTGGAGGGGGCGGCTGCCCGGCAGACATGCTCTGTGGACCCGGTCCGGGCACCCCATCTTCCCTCCTCTCTGTTGAGACTGTCAGCTGCTCATGTTTTCGCTTTGCTTGAAATGAGCTTCCCCTGCCCTTGTTTAGGAATGTTTTGCCCATTCGTTTGGGTCCAGATTATGTACATTCCTGTCTTGGAGCTTCAAAGTCCGTGTTTTGTTTGCTTTTTAAAGAATCTAATTCGATCTGCAGCAGAAAGACAGGAGGGTGTGAATTCCCTCCCTGCTGAGCTGCTGGTTGGAGTCTCATTTTTAACCCCGGCTTGGCCCTGTCTTGGACATGTGAAAAAATGTTTTCTTGGCCTTAATGATGGAGTTTCCAAGTAGGGGATCTTGCCCTTTTGTTTCTTTAGTTTGGAAGAATTGTTTGTAGCAAGCGATGGGTCAGGGGTGGTTGAGCAAGTTTGAAGCAGAGGTTGAGTCTTGAGGTTTCTGACATGTCCTTTCAGCTGCCCTCATGTCCCTCCAGCTGCCCTCAGGGATAAGAGATGGGGGTAGGGCCTGAGATGTCCGGCCTGGCTTCCCAGAACTGGCCCCTTCTGTATCCCCGCCCCGGCGCCTCTGCAGGACTCAGGTCTCAGCCTCTACTGACCAGCCTTTCTCAAACTGGCTCCTTGATACCCTAGTGAGATTCCTTGGCCAATTATGTACTTACAACTTTGTATTATATTCCTCTCTTGTGGATTCACAGGGCTTATTAGCATATCAAAGGCCCTGAAAAGTTCGGCTGTAAAGAATTCTGTGTAATTTTGTCCATTCCACATTTTCTCCAAATAATTTAAGCATGGAACACTCACCAACGGCAAGCGGAACATTTTGTGGGAGGAAGACGTTTTGGGAAACACACAGCTTGGCTATTTCTTGGCCACTATATTTTGAGAAAACACGAGGTTTTCAGTCCAAGGGGCATGAACATTTCTTCTGTTGAGTTCTGATTGTTTAATCCTTCAGCCAGTACTTGGAGATCTTGATGCGGGGTTAGTTAATGCCGCCTCTATGGACACAGTGAGGGTTGTTTGAGGCGTGGCGTGTGTAGAGTTGGAGATGAATCTACTACTCTTGGGTAATTTTCAATTGCTAAAGAATAATCATGTGGTATAGATCTCTCATCTTTGATCCCATTTCAAATGTTTTTGGCATTCACTGACAATGAAAAATCATAGTAGTAGTTGATGATACTATTATTATCAATGCTATCTACCTTTTATGGTATGCTAAATATGTGTCAGGCATTATTCAAACTCTTTACATGTAGTAGCTAATTTAGTACCTGTTAAGGTGCCCTATTTTCCTAATTTTGCTATTGAGGAAACCAAAGCTCAGAGAGGTTATGTGGCTTGCTCAGGGTCACACAGCCAATTAGTGGTGATCTACCACTGCCAGAAACTAAGTAGGTCTCCTTTTTTGCTTATCCATGGCTCTTTTTATGACATCTACAAAGAAGTGTCATTTGGGCAACAATATATTTTATAACCACAGGATTCTATTAATGGGTTTTTAAGAATCATATCTTGCTCGAGATGATGAAAATGAAAAATTATGTCAGGGTCTGAAGCTCTGTGCCACTCGAGGGAATACTATACATTGGATTTAATTGCTTAATAACTTAAAGTCAAGTGGTTTTTTAATATGATACATTCCACTGAAGGAGAGACTCATTTCATTGTTTCTAAATTTTCATTAACTTTTGCTTCCTAATCTGATAATAAAGGTTAACTCTAAGAAAGAGACTGCTGATGCCAGCGAGAGGGAAAAAACACATTTTCTCTGCCTGCTCCCATTCTAACCATCCTCCTTAGTATTCTTGAGATTTTTCATTGACTGAAAAGCACTGATATTTCAATTCATCCCTCAAATTTGTAGTCATTGACTGTGCATGAATCTGAGAATGATCACAACATCCTGGGATTCAGAGATCCTGTAACTGAGATATATCAAGGCAGAGGGATTAGGGGAGATGTGGACCACGCACAATGTGAGATGTTTGATGTGGCGCTGGTGGTGCTGGAATTGGGACCATGTTTGGTGGCAGAAATTGAGCCCCAAAGCCAACTGCAAGGACCTGAAACCTCTTCCTTTATCCTCATGATTTTCTATGACTTGCTTAGAACCAGGCTGGCTTGGCTGGACTTAGAGGTGGAAAAGAGAGTGAGCATCTTTGTCTCTGGTTGGAGGATGAGCTTTGGGTTATCGCTATTACCACACAATGTAATAAAGCCTCTTGTCTTTTTGTGTAGGAAATCTGGCATTTTTTAAAGTTTGCGCCCCACAAAGAGGAAATATTCCAAAAGTACTCAGGATGTAAAAGTGGAGATCTTCACAGATGCCTCCGTGGATGGCATGGCAATCCATCCATCAGTGAGAAGACCATGATTTCTTTTAATTTTTTGTGTGTTTCCATATTCCCCAGTGAGAATTCTTCCACCTTTTTTTGTGCCATGGGAAAAACCTGAAGGGCAGGCAGAGCTGCTCCCGAACTAGTGACCTTCTCCAAGGTTGCAGAGGCTCTTGTAGAACATGACTCTGGGACATCACTTCCTTTGTTTTCTTTCGGAGCTGAACCAAAGAATGTGCGTCCTCTTTCTCTAGTGCTGTGGTGTGTGCTTATTTTTGTATTTGTGCTTTCCATCCATCTTATGTAATCACAAGGCATCCTTAAGGTTTTCCGGCACAATTTGTGGACATCCAGACTCCTGGAGGGACCACCACCCATGGCTCGGTAAGCCAGCAGCCCAGGGCACTGGCACTACCATGAGGCACTGCATTAATTGCTGCATACAGCTGTTACCCGACGGTGCACACAAGCACCAGGTCAACTGCCGAGGGGGCCCCCACCACGGTCACCAGGCGTGCCCCACGTGCAAAGGAGAAAACAAAATTCTGTTTCGTGTGGACAGTAAGCAGATGAACTTACTTGCTGTTCTCGAAGTGAGGACTGAAGGGAACGAGAACTGGGGTGGGTTTATGCGCTTCAAGAAGGGGAAGCGATGTAGCCTCGTTTTTGGACTAATAATAATGACCTTGGTAATGGCTTCTTACATCCTTTCTGGGGCCCACCAAGAGCTTCTGATCTCATCACCTTTCCATTACGGAGGCTTCCCCAGCAACCCCAGCTTGATGGACAGCGAAAACCCAAGCGACACAAAAGAACATCATCATCAATCCTCTGTAAATAATATTTCATACGTGAAGGACTATCCAAGCATTAAATTAATTATCAACAGCATCACAGCTAGGATTGAGTTCACGACCAGACAACTCCCAGACTTAGAAGACCTTAAGAAGCAGGAGTTGCATGTGAGTAGCTTTGTGCTAATCTTGACTGATTGGTTGATTTTTAGAAATGAGTGCTTTTCTTTCTATCACCATCTTTGGGAACACAGAAGGAAGATGACTGAAAAATGTCTCAGATGTAGCAAGGATCATTTGACAGCCTTATGGATTTGAATGCACTGAAAGAGTGATGTTTGCTTACGCTATGGAGTGCCAGGAAGGGAATCTGCTGTCCTGAACGCTGGGTTAGGCATGTTCAAGGGCCGCCGGCTCTCATTATTTAATTCCAGAACTTCTTGCTTGACATGTGATCGTGGTAGTTAAAAGTTGCTTTTGCAGATCACCATCATCTGGGATTTTAAAGCTGCGTTAAATTTGATTTTCTGCTTCTATTCTATATTTTAATCTCTAACGGCAATTTAAATATACAACTAGTGAAAAGATTCTGTTTAATTACCATGTGTGCGTGTGTGTTGTGTGTCAGAAAGGTAAATTATGGTTGAATGGATTTTAATTAAACTTTTATTCTTTAACTTTAATCAAAATAATCTTTATTTTGGATTATCTTTAATCCAAGTTTTTTTGGGGGGGGGAGGGGCGGGGGGGAGGAAAGCACAGTCATTGACCGTCTACCAAGTTTTGCTTTATTTGTTAGTCATTGTCAAACAGGTCGAATTTGAACACGGTCGTCAGTCTCACGGCATGTTCCCATTGCAGTTAGATTGTGTCTTTGCTCACTTTCCCCTCCTCGGTGTCTCTCCTCCTCTGTTTCCTTGCAGATGTTTTCAGTCATCCCCAATAAATTCCTTCCAAACAGTAAGAGCCCCTGTTGGTACGAGGAGTTCTCGGGGCGGAACACCACAGACCCGTACCTCACCAACTCCTACGTGCTCTACTCCAAGCGCTTCCGCTCCACCTTCGACGCGCTGCGCAAGGCCTTCTGGGGCCACCTGGCGCACGCGCACGGGAAGCACTTCCGCCTGCGCTGCCTGCCGCACTTCTACATCATAGGGCAGCCTAAGTGCGGGACCACAGACCTCTATGACCGCCTGCGGCTGCACCCTGAGGTCAAGTTCTCCGCCATCAAGGAGCCACACTGGTGGACCCGGAAGCGGTTTGGTGAGTGCCGGGTCCCAGGGCTCCTGTCTGGTCTCGTTCCATCATTCGTTCATTCCTCCCGCAACGTTAGCGCTGGGGTTGGGGGGCGAGGGCCGCAGAAAGAGATTGCACAATTCCCTTGTTAGGAGGCTGTTCTCAGGCAAAGACCCAGCACTGGAACCCGGTTCCAGTGAGCCATGCAGTGAGCATTGATTGCCAGCTGTGTGCAGGACAGGGGGATGAGTCAGAACTGGCAGCTCTTCTTGTTCCGAAAGCGCGGGCACATGACCCGAGCAGTGAGCAGTAAGTGCCAGTGGCTAGTAAGGGCCCTCAAGGAAGGTGTGATCGGGACTCTTGTCTCCCAGCTCTGTGCCGCTCCCAGCTCTGTGCTGCTCCCAAGCTCTGTGCCGGTCCTCTGCTCTGTACCATTCCCTGCTGTTCCCTGCTCCTTGCTGTTCCCTGCTCTGTGCCGCTCCCTGCTCCGTGCTGTACCCCTGCTCTGTGCTGCTCCCTGCTCTGTGCTGTACCCCTGCTCTGTGCTTTTCCCTGCTCTGTGCTGTTCCTCTGCTCTGTGCTGCTCCCTGCTCTGTGCTGTTCCCTCCTCTGTGCTGGTCCCTGCTCTGTACTGTTCCATGCTCTGTGCTATTTATCTGCTCTGTGCTGTTCCCCTGCTCTGTGCTGTTCCTCTGCTCTGTGCCGTTCCCTGCTCTGTGCTGCTCCGTGCTCTGTGCTGCTCCCTGCTCTGTGCTGTTCCCTCCTCTGTGCTATTCCCAGCTGTGTGCTGTTCAGCTGCAGTCACTGCACCTGGGGGATACTGAGTTGCTTCAGGCCTCAGCTTCTCTGACCTGCCCCATGTGCCTTATGGGTTCCATATGATAACCACATGGAGATCATTCTGGAGGCCCTGCTCTCAGCCCTTTGCCGCAGGCTGACCATGACCACTGCCCATCCCTTTCTGCTCCAGCCCAGCCCCAGGCACCCTGTGGTCCTCAGATCACTGTTTCCTTTCTGTAACCTTTTGCTTGTGCCAGGAGTGGTTTGGTCACTGGAGCTGAGGGGTGATACGTGCCTATTGTCAACCAGAGTCTGGGCAGGCCATGAGGGTGTTTTCCAGTAATGGACTCAGGTTGCCTAGAAGGGAATCTTCAAAGTTTTCCTTAGACCAACTCTTAATGTGTTTCCTGACAAACGTTTGCTTTCATCCTTTGATGATGTTCGTCTTACAGTGAGCTAAAGTGTAAATGTTTCTTTTGTGGTTTAGCAGCGGCCGCTGTAGGAGCCAGGGTTTCACATCCCTATGCATTTGCTGGTGTGTCTGAACACACTCCCCTGCCGCAGGGTGCTCCCCCGAGGCTCACAGTGATTTCCCCTTAATGAAAACCAGCTTCCCACTGGCAGGAAAGGAGGAAGAACAGAGGCGGACCTCTGGAATCTAGTCTTCAATGTCACCTTGAACCTCTTGTTGCTTTGGCCACGGATGTTCTCTTTCCAATTTCCATTGACTTCAGGAGTTGTGGCGTTGGGAAGTGGATTTTTAAATGTTTGCAAGTGAAATTTATTTATTTTTCAGGCAGGGGGTGAATTTAAGCTCTATGTGGCCGATGCCAGAATCCATGTCTGTCTAGAGTATGATCAGTTCCCCTTATTGTTTGGACAAAGGACAGGGTATTTGAACAGGGCAGGAGAGAGAACATCAGGCAAGTGCTGGCTGGCCCCCATGAGGAAGGCATCATGGAGTTTATAGGATACTGCCCTCCTCTCCCCCGTGGGCTGCCCTTGGTCCTCTGTCCCTGTTTCACACAACATATGCATCCTGGCTGTCATTGCTGCCCGGCCACTTAAGAGTCCCACCTGTGCACAAGTTAACCAGCCCCAGACTCTGTCCCTCCAAGCAGACATGTTTCTAGCTCTTGAATAGGTGTTCCAGTCTTTAATCTCCCACTGTCCAGCTTAGTGGTGGTATCTTCCAGCCCTTGAAGCATGCATGGATTGAAAGTGGGTAGCCAGGCCCCATAGACCCCCATCCCCAGCGACCCTTTCTGAAGCTACCCGGGCTGAGCCTCTTGCTGCTGTAGCCAGGCCCTTTAGGCCGTTCCATCTCTCTTTGGTTGCTGTCTGGGAGGCCATCGCTCCAGCAGTAGCAACTTTGTCCTCAGTATCTCCTGCATCTTGGTTCTTGTAGGAATTGTCCGCCTAAGAGATGGGCTGCGAGACCGCTATCCTGTGGAAGATTATCTGGACCTCTTTGACCTGGCCGCACACCAGATCCATCAAGGACTGCAGGCCAGCTCTGCAAAGGAGCAGAGCAAGATGAATACAATCATTATCGGTAAGGCTTCTGTGTTACTCTGGCAGGGCTAGCACCCTCCCTGAGGTCCTGGCTCAGGCTCCAGGCCTGGCCCAGCTCTGCTTCACCTGCAGAACATTTGCATCGTGGCAGCAGACTTCTTTTGAGCCTCCACTGCTCCACCTGGCCGTCACTTTTACCACTACATAAAATGTTCACATCACTTGAACAGTTACTATAAAGCAGAAATGTTGACTTTCTACGTCTATGGAGACTTAAGGACAGCTGATGGCTTTCGTGAGAAGTTGCCATTTCTTTGTTTTTAAGAAATTAAGCAGGGATATTGACTTCTTTTCCTGATGTACTGATCTGGTAGGTTTGGATGGGGAATTATAAATGCAGTTAACTGGTTAGTCATTGATTTGCTGCTTGGGGCTTTTGTAATCCCTGGCCACTGGGACCATATAAGACGGAGGCAGCTTCTTCTGAAATAGACTCCGCTCTGACACATCGCCTATAACTAATTGCTGTTTAAAAAGTCTAGCCTCTGTCAACCTAATGCCTTTGGGCATTCAAAATGAGGTTGATTAATAATAATTTGTTTTACATATTCACAAGATTATTTTATAAGTAAACATATATGTTTACTCTTTTTAAAATTTATTTTTTATTGTATAATTTAAGGTGTACAGCATAATGTGATGTTTTGTTGGAAACAGAGACAATGAAATGATTACTACAGTAAAGCAAATTAACGTAGCCATTTTTTTTTTTTCACAGTTACCTTTGTGTGTGGGGAGGGGAGGCGTGTGTGTGGTAAAAGCACCTGAAATATACTGTCCTGGAGAACTTCCGGCATGCAGTACAGGATGAATAGGATTAATAACTACAGTGCACACGCTCTACCTTAGATCACTAGAGTTGTTATTTGTCTGACATAATTCTTTTTATTGGATTCAGCTTAGAAGGCGTTTATCCACTGATGCCTTCTGAAAGAGAAATTGAATCAGTTTTGCTTAAATTGTTTACCGTAGACAGTGATCTATTTTTTAATTTCCCTAGACCTGTTATATTTGCAGTCTCCAAATTAAATAAATCTATTAGCTACTAAGAGGAATTGTAATCAACCCTTTGAAAGATGACTTTTGAACTTAAGACTCTCCTATCCAAGGGGACAGGCTTATGTGCCAAAGTCTTGACTTACTCTTTTTTTTTTTCTTTTAAACTCAAAGAAATTAAGTCACTGGGAGTCACCTCCAGTATAATTTGGCTGTTAGCTAGGTTTTTGCAAACTTGGGGGTCCAAACTCCCCAAATCTCAAGTCTGACTTACATTTCATTGTGACTCCTATACCATATGCCTCTGGGAAAATCACATGTTCTTATGAAAGTGCTAAAAATATGTATCCTCGGGCCAGGAAACAGAGACTAAGACAATGAATGAAAAAGGAAAGCCTCCGTTTGGTCTCCTAATTTTGCTTGCTCCTAGGTTTTAAAAAGAACAAAAAATAAAATCACTGTGCTGATATTTACTTAAAGCAGAGTTTGGTGAGTTTTATGGTAGTCTTGTGGTGTGACAGGTATCTAGCCCTGCCTGGGCCAGCAGCCAGCTCTGTGCCGTGCAGCCGGTCATTTTTCCTGTTCCCAGACTCTGTCTGCACCTCTGCAAAGTGGAATTGTTGGACCAGGTCAGTTCTAGACTCCTTCCAGCTCTGAAATGTGACTCAGCTCTGCCCCAGCTCTTCCTCTGTGTTAGATTAGGGGCAGAGACAGCAGGATCTTGCCTCATCTTGGGCCCCTAGGGCAGAGAGGACCTTTCTTCTGCTGTCATTGTTGACAGCTAGAGTCACACAAGAGCTTCAGGATGCAAGTGGCCTGAACGTGATGGCTGAACTTGGGGCTAGGGCTTTAGGCATGTTGAAAGGCTCCTGCGTCTACTCCCAGGTACCCAACATGGTACTCTTTGTTTCTTGAATTGCCTGTTGTCCCCCTTGTTTCTTAAGGTCTGAGAGAGGAGGGGCCGTGCTTTCCTCCCCTGATCTGTCCCTGGTGCCAAGCACAATGCTGAGCACAGATTAGACACCAAATGAATGCTTCCTGGGTGGATGAAGGATGGATGGTGGCCAGATGGAAGGAAGACAGTCAGGTGGATGGAGAAATGCCTCCGTGGCTCTAGAACCAGTTCATTTTTGAGATCTGACAGAATTTGTGCCAATTTAGCTAGAGAGTTCATTTGTCCTTTATATTCTTATTCGTTGTGAGTAGAATTTTCAAGGGACTTCTGATTGACTTGTTTTTTCTGTGTCCTGGGGTATTATCTCTTTAAAAAAAAAAAGAAAAAAAGGCCAGAACAGAGCTGTTCACCTGCATGTGATTATGCATCCGACAGAACTGACAGGGGCCTGCAGGGATATGATACACTTGTCACTGACCAAAGACTCAGTCATCTGGCTCAGTCTTTCCCCGGATAAGTAACTTTCAGATGTGTCCTGTGGTCCTTGGCAAACTGTCAGGAAATCAAGTGTAGAGCTGATTGATGGATTTGCCTTCCTTTTTAAATCTCTGAAGACTTTCCCAAACACACACACACACACACACACCCTCAAACCCTCAGGAACTTGGCTTCGTCCTCTGGGAGAGTCTGCACTGTTGGAATGCCTGCCTGTATCTTGGCATCACCTCTGTGCTGGGATGTGTGTTTGCCATTTACATCCTTCACTCATGAGGACCATGATGAAATGTGAAACTGGCTGGGACCCAGTTCCCGTTCACCCAGTCTGCACTGAGTAGGCACCAGCTGCGTGCAGAGCAGTGGCTCACAGGAGACAGGGTGTGTGAGCCCTGTGGCAAAGCCCCTCTGTCTTTTAGTCTTAGAGTATGCCCTGAGATGAACAGTTACAGCTTCAAGGAAGGAAATCGCACTCGAATTCCTCGTCAGGGTTAGTGTTCCCACCCTCCTGCTTTCTCCTGATGCCTTGGAAGGAAACCATCTAGTACCAGCTCCAGGCTCCTGGGCTGCTAGACCAGTTCTCGGCTCCTCCCAGCTCTGAAACGTGGTTTGGCTCTGCCCCAGCTCTTTCTCTTTGTTAGATCCGGGGCAGAAATGGCAAGGCCTTTCGCCATCTTGGGCCCCCAGTTCAGAGAGAACTCCATCTATTACTAGAACCATCTACTATATAGAACATATATTGGAAAACTATACAGGAAAACCATTTTCAGAACCACCTATAATTTCCCACCTCGATAACTGCTATTTGTGTTTTGGTGTATTTTCTCACAGACTGCATTCTCCGTGGGCCCTTAAAATGCCACAGAGCTGTGCACCATGAGCAAAGTTAAATACTGTGAAACTGGGGGCCCAGATGCTGGTGAAGGTTTGCTTTTTTGCTCCGCTTGGAAAGGGGGCTCAGGGGTGGGGACACTCAGTGTTGCATGGATTGCCTGGACTTCCAGACAGAGGTTTTTGGGCTGGAGGTGGGGTGTGACTGTGGCAGGGGTGGGCATCCAACCTTCTCTCTTTGGAGTCCTGTTTGCCCACAAAGGCTGACAGCTTGGCCTCTCCTGCTGCTTAAGAGGAAGGCATCGGGGCCAGCTTTGGCCTCTGGCACCCGGGGCCACTTCGTGGGAGCCTGAATCCCACCCCTGCTCACTTGGAGTGTTTTCTATTTCCAGGGGAGGCCAGTGCTTCCACTATGTGGGATAACAATGCCTGGACGTTCTTTTACGACAACAGCACAGACGGCGAGCCACCGTTTCTGACCCAGGACTTCATCCACGCCTTTCAGCCGAATGCCAAACTGATTGTCATGCTCAGGGACCCTGTGGAGAGGTGAGCAGTTTCTGTGTGTTGTATTTGGGGTGAGAAGAAGAAGCACTTTTGAAGAAAGGTATTCTCCTGTCATCACAATTAAGATTTTGTCTCCTTTAGAAAAAATTGAACAGGCCAGGTGCAGTGGCTCACGCCTGTAATCCCAGCACTTTGGGAGGCCAGGGTGGGTGGATCACCTGAGGTCAGGAGTTCAAGACCAGCCTGGCCAACGTGGTGAAACCCTGTCTCTACTGAAAATACAAAAATTACCAGGCGTGGTGGCACACTCCTGTAGTCCCAGCTACTCGGGAGGCTGAGGCAGGAGAATCGCTTGAATCCAGGAGGTGGAGGCTGCAGTGGGCCAAGATGGCGCAGCTGCACTCCAGCCTGGGCAACAGAGCAAGACTCCATCTCAAAATAAATAAATAAAAACAAATAAAAATCAATGGAACTTGCAATGTTACTGCTGTTTCTTACGTAAGTGTTATTCTTGGGGCTGTCGTCACTGAGTTGACACACATTGCAGATTGTTTTCTTAACTATTCTGATCCTGGTCTGCATGTCTTCAGCCCCAGTGGGCCTGACCAGGGACACAGGACGGTTCCTTGGTGCTGTCAAGGCTCAGGAAACACCCTTAGAATCAGGGGCGTCGGCTTCGCCACGTGGTTTAACTCCTAGAATTCTGTGTCTCTCGACGTGGTCGATGCCTTTGTCCTTGTCTGCATTGAATGTACAGTTTCCAGCTTTCCTTGAGAGACCAAAAGGAAGAACAATGATGAGTAGAGCAGCTTTGTTTTAAGATCAAGGGTTGCCCAGCGTGGGTGAGGCCAGGGTAGTGGGATATTGAACAGCCACTGTGGGGCGGCCCAGCTGCCACTGGGCGCTGCTTGCATCATTGTTGCCTGTGTGAATACAGAATCTCAGGGCTGCCAGGACTTTAAAATTATTTAGTCCAACGCTCCCTCCAGTATCACCACATCAGAGCAGAGGGGCCCCAGTCTAATCCGAGGCGCTCTGAGTCAGGGAATTCTCCACACAAGATGGCCAGTGTAGCTTAGGACAGCTGTGTTCCTATTTTGAGACCAGGTCTGTTCTGTGGGAACATGCACTCATTAGTCCTGTTTCTTCTCAATACAGTGAGACAGACCAAGTCTAATCCTTCCAAAACAGGAGAGACTGGCAATATTTAAAGACGGGGACCACAGCCCTTTGTGTCGTATTTTCCTTTGGGCCAACTGCATCTTCTGATAGATTGAATTATGCCCCGCAAAAAGATATGCCGAAGTTGTCTCCCCCAGTGTGTATGACTGTGGCCTTATTCGGAAATAGGATCTTTGCAGATGCACTCAGGTTAAAATGAGGTCATACTGGATCAGGGTAGACCCTCAGCCACCCTAAGACACAGGGAGCATGCCTCATGACGAGGCTGGAGTGATGCTGCCACCAGCCAAGGGGTGCCAAGGAGTGCCGGCAGACACCAGAAGCCAGGAGAGGTATGGAACAGATTCTCCCCCGGCACCCCAGAGGAGCCCCCCTTGCCCACACCTGGGTTTCAGACTCCAGCTTCCAGGACACTGGGGGAAGAGTCCTGTCATTGTGCACCACCAGTTCATGGTGATTTGTCCTGGCAGCCCCAGGACACTGACCTGTGGGATCCCTTCCTCAGGTGGCATACCTTCGTGGCCCCACGTATTTGCCAATTATAACAATAAGGCGTGTTTGTTGTGGAAATTTTAGAACATATATTGGAAAACTGTTTTCAAACTATAATTTCTCACCTAGATAACTACTATTTATGTTTTGGTGTATTTTCTTCCAGACTTTTTCTATGCAAATAGGTGTGTGTGTATGTGTGTGTGTGTGTGTGTGTATACACGTGGGTGTGACGGTACAGTCTTATGTCCTGCTTCTTTCACTTTGCATTCTTGTCCCCAAAAAACATGCTTTAAAGTCTGCCCTGGTCACACTTCTGAGCTGATGTCCCTCTTATGGAGTTTGCATGGCTCCCGCCACTCTAAGTATGACCTGGTTAGGGAGAGGCTGGATCCGCCCTCCCTCAGCCCCAGCGCCTGAGCCTGAACTCTTGGTGGCTGTCCCAGTGCCATGCATTCTGGCAGGTGCCAGGTGTGGTTTCGCTCCCTACCCTCTGCATCTCCCAGCCCAGGACTTCGTCCACTCTGTTCCGAGGCAGCCACTGACTTGCTGTCACTTGCCATGTCCCGTCCCACCTGCTGGTTCCTGTGTTTTGGAGGCAGAAATTGGCCTTGCTGAGCAGGCTGGTCTCCCTCTGTTCAGCAGGGCTGACGCACACTAGCGGAGCTCTCATGGTGACATAACTGTCACCTCGCACTGACCCCTTGCAGTCCCTGGAGGTGTTTTCACAGCTGCTCTGCCTCCCTCCCCCCACGGCTCCCAGCTGAAGGGCGCAAGTGCTCGGTGTGCTCATCAAATTGTTTCCTGTCGCTGCTCCTTAGTTCCTCATTCTGAGAAAGGTCAGACCACGCCTTAACCTCAGGGGCAGCCTTGTGTGCTCTCTGGGCACAGAGAGGTGGGGGCCCATCTGTCAGGACTGGGTTTGGTGTGTGTGGGCCCTGCTCTGGGCCCTGGGAGACTGGAGCTCCCAGTGGGCACGTGGGCGTGGCTGTGGTTGGTTACAGTAGTGCAGAGTAGGAGGCTGGGGGAGTGGGCTCCTGAGTGGGGAGATCCAGAAGGAATTGACCCGGAGAAAACTGATGCCAGACTGGATTTTGAAGGATGAATAAGAGTTTGCTGTGTAAACAAGGAAGGAAGGTGGGTTAAGATGAAGAAACCTTCCAGGCAGAGAGAAGGACAAGTGCAAAGGAAAAGACCACGTGTTCTCCTGTTTGGGGTGGAGCCAGGGTCCAGTGGAGCCAGGGTCCCTGTTAGGAGGTGGAGCCAGGGTCCCTGTTAGGGGGTGGAGCCAGGGTCCCTGTTAGGGGGTGGAGCCAGGGTCCCTGTTAGGGGTGGAGCCAGTGTCCCTGTTAGGGGTGGAGCCAGGGTCCTTGTTAGGGGTGGAGCCGGTGTCCTTGTTAGGGGTGGAGCCAGGGTCCCTGTTAGGGGTGGAGCCAGTGTCCTTGTTAGGGGTGGAGCCAGGGTCCAGTGGAACCAGGGTCCCTGTTAGGGGGTGGAGCCAGGGTCCTTGTTAGGGGTGGAGCCAGGGTCCCTGTTCGGGGGTGGAGCCAGGGTCCCTGTTAGGGGTGGAGCCAGGGTCCAGTGGAGCCAGGGTCCCTGTTAGGGGGTGGAGCCAGGGTCCCTGAGTGTGTTTCTTTTTTCCTGGGTTCTGGTCCCACCTCTGAGGACACAAACACCACAAAGGTGAGTGTTGGAACAGAAGACAGCAGCACCGTGCAGGTGCAAGCGGCTCAGCCAGGAGCAAGACCTGCCAAACTCTTCTCTCATACCCAGCCCGAGTCTGCCAGCTAGAAGGAGGCTCACAGTTCACAGCGTGGTCCCCCCGAGTAGCCACCATGTTTTCTTCTTTTAATAACAAATACTCCATTTATCCTAGGAATTGAACGTGAAAACTTCTTGCCTCCCTGGTCCTCAGCCTAACAGAAATAGTTGGTCAATTCAAACACATATTCAGTCCCTGCCACAGGCTGGGTGCCGTGCTGGGCACTGAGCATACGTGCCCTGGTGAACAACAGTGGCCACCCAGTGCCTACCCCCTGGGAGCTGGTGCTTTAACAGAGAAGTGGGCGGCGGCTTTGTCGTGGCACATGTCCTGGTGCTGAGGAGAAGGGCAAGATGCCGGGGCAGCAGCATGTGTTAGGACGCTGACCCAGGCCTTGCATTGCCTGCTGTATGAGTTATGTACTGCTAGGGAACAAGTTTGCCAAAACTTAGCAGCTTCAAATGATTTCTGGGGATCAGGAACCTGGGTGCAGCTTTACTGGGTCCTCTACTTTGGGTCTCTCTCAAGGCTGTGATCCAGCTGTCACCAGGCTGGGGCTCTTCCATGTGCTTGACTGCGGAAGGACCTGCTCCCAACTGGACATGGTTGTGGGCAGAATTTAGCCCCTCAAGAGCTGTTGGAATGAGGGCTTCAGATCTTTGCTGGCTTTTGGCGAGAGGCTACCCTCAGTACCTCGCCAAAGGGCCTCTCCAGTATGGCTGCAGGCTTTATCCAAGCCAGCAAGCTAGAGCGTCTGCTAGCAGATTAGAAGTCACGATTTTTTCTAACCTAGTCATGGGTGTGAAATCCCATCGTCATTGCCATATTCTGTTGGTTAGAAGCAAGTCGTGAGGTCTAGCCACACTCAATGTGAAGAGACTACAGGGTGTGAATACCAAGAACCGGGTATCACTGAGGACCATCCTAGGAGTCAGCCACCTCCCGTTCTGCACCTGATCCTCAGGAAACTGGGGCCTGGGCTTTGCAGCCAGGAGAGTAGCTTCCAGCTTGATCCCAGCTCTAGTGGCAGAGGAATTGTGTTTATGTGTGTATTTTCTGTGTAAGTTACTGACATAGCAGCTATTTCATTTATTCTTAAACATTTATAAAAATAAGTAACAATAGGAATTTCTTCTTTTTCGAAGGCTGGCGCGTTTCCCATCTCAGCCAGAAAGGATGATAAATACTGTGTGTTTAGATCACTCTTGAAAAAACAAACACTCTGAGCCCAAGTTCCATTAGCATAACAGGATCCTGGGCCATTAGCCCTGTTCTGTGGCCTTGCACTTCTGTACGCGGGAGATGTTGTGGGTCGCTGGGTGCAAGTTGGATTGGTCCCAAGTTGTTCTTTTCCTTCTATAAATTGACTTGGAGAGGGGAAATACTACTTTTATTTTTAGTTTTAGGTTCACATTCAACCTTTACTTCTATAATTGATCCAAAGTAGAGGGTTTGAAAATGTTGGAATTTTAAGCGAAGTCAAATCACTTTTAAATTTCCAGAGAAAGATTCAAGTGGCAAGTTGTTTTTTTTTTTTTCCTGGAGGAGAACAGAGGAATACTGGAAAGAAGTGGACGGGATGGTTCATATGGCCAAAGAAGCCAGC